TCGCAGGCTGCCTCGCAGGCTACTTCGCAGCATGCGGACGAGCCTCGCGGGTGACTCTCACGTTTGCAAGAGGGAACGTGACCCTCGCGTTCGTACAACGGTACGACCCTCGCTTTCGCAAAAAGGAATGTGACCCTCGCGTTCGCAAGGCACGACCCTCACGTTAGCGCGAGAGTGCAAGAAACGCGACCCTCGCATTCAGACGTTACTGCATGCAACATTTACAATAATTAATTTATTTGTTGTTACAATCATAATTGTTATTATAATTTGTAACAATCAAATTGACTGTGGGTGACCCTTAAACTGGCCTTAGACGCCTATAAATAGTGCCCATTAGGGCAGTTCTTGATACATACAGAAAAACACACTGAAGCGTTCGAGCTGTTGTGCTGCTGCCGTAGAGTTTGAAAATGTGCAAACTTTAGTCTGTGCCCGAAGGAACATAGCACTGAACCGAAAGGTTTTTACAGATCGAAAGATATTTGTCTGAACCGAAAGGTTTTACAAATCAATAGATCTTTATTTGAATCGAAAGGTTTTGAACCGAAAGGTTTTAACAAATCGAGGAGATCGTTGCCTTGACCGAAATGTCTTATAGATCGAGGAGATCTTGACAGTACTTGGTTGGTACATACTATTGTATTATACTGCTGTTTCTAAAAGCAGTTTGACCTAGGGATCCTTGCACCGAAATAGGCCAAATATTGTTTTAAACACAGCGTTTCACAAACGCACAACAGATAACTTGAAAAAGTTTTAAAATACAGCACTTTAATCGCTTTCATTTCTCACTGATTTAGACACAGCGCCAACAAGTATATCAACTGGTACTCCCGATTCCTCAAGAAAAACTGGTACTCCCAATATTTTCTCTTTTATTTTTATTTTAAAAAATTGGACGAATATCATTGTAATATTCATCAAAATCTCTAGTTTAACAATCCAAACCTTTCCATAAACGAGAGATCGGAAACTATTATTAAAACCAAGCTCAATTTTTCCGCTAAAAAAAGAAATAAAAATTGAATCAAGACCCGCTCAAATAACTGACTAATTAACCTCTACAAAACTTTGACAAAGTTGCAACGTTTGTAGCATAAATCAGCGAAGGGGACAAAACCCAGGTCAAAATTCTACAGATGAGCGAGAGGAACCCTAAAACACATCAGAAGAACAACTCAACAACCCAGAAGGAAGCAGAGTTGAAAACCATGCAATTAATTTTTCATAACTTACCAATTTACAGCAAAGAGGCTCGCCTTTGAGGGGGAGAGAAGAGCCGACCGATCTTGTGAGCAACCATGAGATTACCGGCAAACTTTTTTGGGGCTTTTGCTATTTTGGGGTGAGTACCCTTTTAGAGCTGCAATTTGCACTTTAGTAGGTTATTTCTGTATATACACCTCTTAAATCATGGATATTTGTGAAAAAACCCTTAAATCTCAGTATTTGCAAAATTAGTCTTCAAATCATTGATTTTGAAAAATAATATACCCAATCATCCTGTTATGAACTTTATTGGTACGGCGAGTGAACTTTTGATTATTGTTTTGGTAATTTAACATTTCAAGTCTCAGAAAGTATGATTTGTTGAATTAGGGTGTATTTTTTTTCTAAAGCTAAGTATTTTTGTAGTTTTGCAAACATTGAGATTTGGGGATAGTTTTGCGAATACCGAAAAGTACATATAAATAGCCTAAATTGTTTTAAATTAACACATTAGTACCTTTATTATGCAAACCTGAAAATTATCACCTGAATGTTCCATATAATTCATAACCTAATTATATAACTTTATAACTAATATGTTTGTTGAATTTATTATTAAACATATCCAAATTCTAGTTTTAAATTATAATTTGGATATATTTAAATCAGAATTTAGGTACGGTTAATAGCAAATTACACAAATATTAAAGGCTAAAAAGCTCTAAACTTAACATGTAAATGTTATATGCGGATACACAGGTGAAAAGTTTTACAGCCTGCATAATAGAGGATACCAACGTAACAGTGTTAAACAACTTAAAATATACAAATGTTATGGGAAACAACTTAGGGTATATAACTGCAAAGTGAGTGAAACTATTAGGTTTTTAAGCGCTATTTACGTTACTTTGATCAGACTCGCTGCTGAATCTTGACACAGTATTCTTTTCTAGGGTTCTGAAAGGCCGCAGCTTCTAAATTGGTCTCATGCTCTTCTAAAATTTTCTTTTTTCACGGATTATGAAAGGAAATTCTTGGTGGATAACGTTGCCCCAATGGAGATAAAATTTTCAGATTGGGAAGCTTTGGAAATTAATAATGAAGGTATGCTAATACTCAGATGTATATCTATATGAATTTCCTTGTTATTTTTGAGGTTATTACTGTTAGTTTTTTTTGTTTCCTATTTGTTATGCCGTTCTAATTTATTCTTTGTCATTGTTTTTTAATAATTTATTACGTCCCCTATGATGACTTGTCTTGAAGTTTCCATTTATAGCTAAATTTCTTTAACAAATTAGTTACTGCTGCTGAAGGAATTGTGTCCTTTAATCGAATGTGCAATTACTAATTATGGTATGGGACATTTAATGGAGATTTACAATCCGGTTATTTTAGGTAGTTATAGTGCTTTGCTAGAAGCCAACTATGATTTATGGACTTTATGTTATAAAGTTCATTGCTATTATAACTGGGTCCTACGAGGTCACACCCTAAGAGTTTGTGGACTGGATATATTGGGAGAATTATTATATAAAGTATATAATATAAAGTTATATAAGATATAACTTCAAAATAGAGTTTATTAATAATAAGGAGTTATTGTTAAATAAAGGATAAATTTATTTATAAATGTTATAAAAGATAATATTTAATTATAGAATTAAATATGACTTTAATTAGTGGATTATATTTAATTATAGAATTAAATATGACTTTAATTTGTGGATTATAAATAAGAGTGGTTTTTCTTTTAGAAAATCCAATCCAATTCTACTTTTTCTATATACGTGAAAGTGTTACTACTTTCTCTCCCAAAAACCTTTCATCTTCAACCTAGCAGTTGATTTCTAAGGATCCAGATCTTTGCTCGGGTGGATCAACTAGAGGAGTTTTCAAGTGAGACTCTTAATCTCTCCATTAGAGAAGGCTTTGAACACGCATCAAGAGGTAATCGTTTTTCCTTTTTTTTTAATCCAATTGATTTATGCAATAGATCCTTCGTTTAGATGTTAGGAAAACGTTTCCTGCAATTCCGCTTAGAGCATCTAAAGTTTCTACAGTGGTATCAGAGCCTCTTGCATAAATTAATTGGATCAAATTTTAATCTTACAATTTGATGCATGTTCATGATTTTTTAGATTCAATAAGCATAGATCATATGTTTGGATTAATGCATAATAAATACGATTTATTTTATAAAATATTTGATATTTTATTTGATAAATAAAGATTTAATTGTTCTGTAAGATCTATATATATCTTATTTGGTTAATTTTGAATTAACATAAATATTTGATTCTATTTCTTGGCAAATTACTAATTAATATTAGATATTAATTCCATTCACAGTCTTATTGAATTAAAATAATGAGAAATCGTTTCTAATTTTAAATAGTTAATATGATTAATTATTTATGCTTTTTATTTGGATAAATTGCATGTCTTACTTGAATAACATTTCATTGCATGTACGTTTAATATTATGATATTATTGCATGTGGTGACTAGTATGGCCCAAATTAGGATAGATAAACACGATCTGCGTATCGTTATGTATTTTTTGTAATTTAAATTTATGCAAGAAAGTTTATTCAAATTTATGTAACACAAGAAGAAGAAGATCCTATGATGACTAAAGGATGGTGATCCAGAAAGTCAAGACTATTGAAGATTAGATCTCTTTAGGAGCCATACTAGGATCTAAATTTTTATTATTGCATTATGTGAATGTTTTTATTATCTCTTGCCTTGCATGAATGCTTGTTTATTTAGTTCGCTTATATATAGACAACCATTACATGCTAAAAGTCCCTTAAAAGAATATTGAGATTATGCCTTTCCATGTCATAACCATGAGGCCCTTGGAATTCGTTGGATAGTTTTCGCCCTAGCGAGGTGTCCTTCCTTGACCTTGGGATAGTGCGGGTATGTCTAATAGGGGCATGCTGCCTTGATATGGTTATACTCAACAAGAGGCCAAAAGATTTAGTTTTGGATCTTGAGGCATAAGGATGAGTTAACATATGATGTGGCCATCAACCAAGAATTATAAAGTGTTATAATTAGTAAAGCATTTACTTACCTTGATTACATGAGATTTGGGGAAGTGCCTTAGTACGCTCAAGTTTCATCTAAGATAGGATCTTGGAATTATTTTACTCACAAGGGACAATATTATATTGAGTAGAATAAGCAATAACTTGTTATTTAGAACATGTCTAAAATAAAGTTTTTTGCATTTCAAGCGTAATTTATCTGCATATTTCAATTTCTGTTTTGTAGTTACTATGTCTACTGAACACCTCAAATTCACGCTCCGCTCAATTGTTGAGAAAAACAAGTTGAACGACACCAATTTTCTTGATTGGGAACGAAATCTGAGAATTATTCTCAGGTCTGAGAACCAAGAGGATGTCCTAGAAACACCCATCCCAGAGCTGATTGTCAACTCATCTGATGAGGATAAGGCACGTCACAAAACAATATGCGAGAGGTCAAGGAATGTTACTTGCCTCATGCTGGATGCCATGGAACCGGGTCTTCAATAGAGGTTTGAGGATCAGGATGCCTATATAATTATGAGAAATCTTAGAGATCTCTTTAAGGAGCAGGCCAGGATTGAGAGGTATGAGACCCTTAAGTCCATATTGCAAAGCAAGCTCGAAAAGGGGAAACCAGTGGGGCCACATGTTTTCCACATGATAGGCCTGTTTGACAGGATGGCTCGACTTGGGAACTCCTACAATGTTGAGATGGCTACAGATATGATCATGTATTCCTTACATGATGGATTTGCCAATTTCAGGCAGATGTATCACATGGGACCCATGGGTAAGACCCTCAATGAGCTGCATGCTATGCTCAAAACTGCTGAGCAAAATGTCTTGGTTGAACCTAGGAAGGATGTTCTTATGGTCAACAAAGGGAAAGGGTTTAAGAAAGGGCCACAGAAGAAGCAACAGTCTCAAGGGAAGGGCAAGACAGTTGTTCCACCTAAGGGAAACACACCTAAAATAAAGGTGGCTGCTGAGCATGACTGCTTCTACTGCAAGGCTAAGGGGCACTGGAAGAGAAACTGCCCCAAATATCTGGAAGATAAGAAGAGGGGTGCCTCTGCTTCAGGTATTTGCGTCATTGAAATCTTATCAACTAACTCCAATTCTTGGGTATTAGATACCGGTTGTGGTTCTCACATTATTTCGAATGTGCAGGGACTACGAAATAGGAGACGGTTGCAGAAGGGTGAGATAGATCTTCGCGTTGGAAATGGAGCAAGAGTTGCTGCACTTGCCATTGGAGATTATAGTCTACCGCTACCTTCTGGCTTGGTTTTAGAACTTTATAATTGTTATTTTGTTCCTTCTATTACTAAGAATTTGATTTCAATTTCAGTTTTGAACCTTGAGGGTTATAATTTTGTCATTAAGGATTGTTTTTCTATTTTTAAGAATGACATCTTTTATGCTCAAGCCCATATGAATAATAGTGGATTATACATATTGGATCTCAAATCTGAAGTTTATAACGTTGATACAAAACGGCAAAAGTCGAATGACATAAGTGAAGCCAATCTATGGCATTGTCGCCTAGGCCACATTAGCATTAAACGCATGAAGGAACTCCAAACAGTTGGTAGCCTAAAGTCATTTGATTTAGAATCATTTGAAACATGTGAATCATGTCTAATGGGTAAGATGACAAGGTCACCTTTCAAAGGTACAAGTGAAAGGACTACTGAGCTCTTAGCTCTCATACATACCGATGTGTGTGGACCTATGAGCATAGAAGCTAGGAGAGGCTATCGATACTTCATTACATTTACTGATGATTTTAGTAGATACGGGTATATCTACCTAATGAAACATAAATCTGAGTCTTTTGAAAAGTTCAAAGAATTTCAGCATGAAGTTGAGACACAAACAGGCAAGAAGATAAAGGCACTTCGATCAGATCGAGGGGGTGAATATCTGAGCCAAGAATTCGACCATCATTTGAGGAGTTGTGGTATTCTAACACAACTGACTCCACCAGGTACACCACAACTGAATGGTGTGTCTGAGAGGAGAAACAGGACATTGTTAGACATGGTCCGCTCAATGATGAGTTTTGCTGATCTTCCTACATCCTTTTGGGGTTATGCCCTCACTACCGC